AAAAGTAGCACGATTTTAATCACTTGTTAACAAACAATCAATGAGCTCATTGTTTCTGCATTAAATTATAACATTGTTCAAATTAATACCTTTTTCGCTAACTGTGACTTTGTATATGTACATTTCTGAAATACATAACTTAGACAGTTTCCTCTGATAACAGATCACTGTAAAGCTGCTTTGAAATTATGTGTATTGTGAAAAGCGCTATACAAATAAATGTGAATTGAATGTAAGATTCCTAAACTGTCCGAATGAACCGTATTCTCATTGGTTTGTAGATATCTTCATGAGTTTGCGCGGGCCGGCACCGGAGCACGTGGGTTACTCGGACTGCAGCTTCTTCGAGAGTGCGTCCAGTGGGGCGTTCCTGTCGACTCCTTCCTCTGCGATCACCAGTCAGATGATACACACCGGATCCCTGCTAACACAGGTGCCGCACCGACTCACTGTTCAACAACACACTAGTTCAGGTTCAGGTTTATTGATATAGCCCATTTCATACACAGAACGGTAACCCAATGTGCTTTACATAATAGCAATTGCACAATAACATTAGCAATAAAAACATGTTAAATCACAGGGAACATAATACACAAAACTGAGAGCTTAAAATAAAAACCTTACAGACCACAGGTACAAGAGAGGGTTAATAGAAAGCATCATAGAAAAGTTTTGTTTTTAGTCTGGATTTAAAAATAGAGACAGTAGGAGAGGTCTTAATGTCTACACCAGGGGTCTCAAACTCAGCTTAACTGGGGGCCGCTGGAGGTGGAGTCGGGGTCAGGCGGGGCCGCATCAAGTATTCCACAAAAAATAGTATTCAAGTATTACAAAAAAGGAGCACAACTGATCCAATCTTCTCAATATTTATTATTAACGTTTCTTCTGAACTGTTCCTCTGAATTTGAACATTCCTTTCTGTACATGATTGGTTCTTCATGAGCCGTCCTTCTGACAGTTGAAGTTCATTTTACAAACTTTCTTTGTCTATAACACATATTTGTGATATTTATATTTGCTTATGTCCTTTTTATTTTCTTTATACAACACATTAATGATATTGAATGTTTTTTTTTGGAAGGCACATTTCCTTTTATTATACTTAGAAAAACAATTATTGCTTTTGAAATACAAATATTTGCAGTCATGTCTGCCCGTCTTATTGAATTATTTCTACACATGTATAGTGTCTCAAATTACTGACTCCACAAATCAAATCAAACCTTCTTATCAACCTGTTGGACACATATTACAAGCTCAAAGTGATTATTCTCACATTGTTTTAGAGCAGGGGTCTCCAACACGTCGCTTGCGAGCTATCAGTAGCTCGTGGCCTGATTGGTGGTCGCTCGCCAAGGGGCCGTTCTCATATCGCGCTCACATATTTTGCGCGCTCAAGTTCGTTATTTTTCGATATTTTCGCTCATAATTGAAGCGACGCGCTCGTTTTTTCCAGGCGCAGTATGTTTGTACTTCGCGGTTGTCTATGACAACTATTGACAACAAACCCACTGTAAGCTGTCACGAGACTATCTATGGTAGCCCATAAGGGATAAAAAAAAAAAAAATTAAACGCGGCACACGCAACGATGGGCTGCACTAACATTAAACTTTAATGTCAAGTAGGGGGCCACAAAATATCACCCGGCCCGCGGGCCGCGAGTTTGAGACCACTGGTCTACAGGAAGACGGTTCCAAAGACGGACCGCATAACAACTAAAGGCTGCCTCTCCCTGCTTGGTACGAGCTCTGGATTGTACCAGTTGGAGTTTTCCAGCAGATCTAAGAGATCTTGAGGGGCTATATGTTTCAAGCATCTCTGCTATATAAAGAGGTCCTTGACCATTTAGTGATTTAAAAACAAGAAACTTTAAAATCAATTCTATAGATCACTGGTAACCAGTGTAGAGATTTTAAAATTGGTGTGATATGATCTTTTCTTTTAGTTCTGGTCAATAGCCTTGCTGCTGCATTTTGATAATTTGAAGAGGTTTTATTGTTTTTTTAGGGAGACCAGTGAAAAGACCATTACAATAATCCACCCTACTGGTGATGAAAGCATGAATAAGCTTTTCTAAATCTACCGGTAATATAAAGTTTTTAACCTTTGCAATGTTTTTTAAATGATAAAAAGCTGATTTTGTGACTGCCTTCATGTGGCTATTGAAACTTAGGTCGCTGTCAATAATGACCCCGAGGTTCTGCACGGTTTCCACTGCCTCAAAACCTTTCATTCCCAATAATGTGGCAGTCTTTAGTCTTTGATCCTTTTTCCCAAAGATAATTACTTCAGTTTTGTCTGTGTTTAGTTAGTGGCCTTGTGAAAAACGACTTATGTCATCAACATTTAAAAAAAATTCTCAAACACTCCCTCATCTGCCATTTTTCATATTCCAGAGTTTTACTTTTGAACCTACAAATGACTCTTGTGAACACTGATTAATAATATTGTGTGTATATATATACACACACACACACAAGGGAAACTCGAAAAATGAGAATATCGTGCAAAAGTTCATTTATTTCAGTAATTCAACTTAAAGGTGAAACTAATATATTATATAGACTCATTACATGCAAAGTGAGATATTTCAAGCCTTTATTTGTTATAATTTTGATTATTATGGTTTACAGCTTATGAAAACCTTTTCACAATATTCTAATTTTGAATTTGGGGTTTTCATAAGATAAGCCATAATCATCACAATTATAACAAATAAAGGCTTGAAATATCTCACTTTGCATGTAATGAGTCTATATAATATATTAGTTTCACCTTTTAAGTTGAATTACTGAAATTGCACGATATTCAAATTTTTGAGTTTCACAATTTTTTTTAATATCTTAAAATATTTAATTATTATTATATTGTATTATGTTAATTATATTATATTAACATGGTTAAAAGCATAGTATACATTTCAACATTAAAATATTAAAAATAATAATTATATTCAATATTTTATTAATAATTAAATAAAAAAAATATATTAAGAATTAAATTAAATTATTATAAAAATATTATATTTAATATTTATTTATTTAAACATTTTGCTGTTGAAATGTGTACCATGCTTTAGACTATTAACCTCATGAGATTTCATATGAATTCAATACATTTCCCCAAATTTATAAGACAAACTTTATTCAAATAATTTCAGAATTTTTTGCCTCCTCTCTCAGCTGAAAAAAATATATATACTTGTTTTTAATATCTTACATTTTTTAATTTTATGTATTTTATTTTTAAGATTTTTATGTTGAAATGTGTACCACTCTTTTAACCATGCTAATTATTATATTGTATTATATTAATTATATTATATTAACATGGTTATAAGCATAGTATACATTTCAACATTAAAATATGAAAAAAAATCATATTCAATATTTTATTAATAATTAAATAAAAAATATATATTAAGAATTAAATTATTATACAAATATTATATTTAATATTTATTTATTTAAACATTTTGCTGTTGAAATGTGTACCATGCTTTAGACGATTAACCTCATGAGATTTCATATGAATTCAATACATTGCCCCAAATTTATAAGACAAACTTTATTCAAATAATTTCATAATTTTTTACCTCCTCTCTCAGCTGAAAAAAAAAAACTTGTTTTTAATATCTTACATTTTTCAATTTTATGTATTTTATTTTTAAGATTTTAATGTTGAAATGTGTACCACTCTTTTAACCATGCTAATTATTATATTGTATTATATTAATTATATTATACTAACGTAGTTATAAGCATAGTATACATTTCACATACATAGTATACAAAAAACTAAAATAATAAATTAAATAAAAAAATAGAAATAAATAAATAGTTATATTATATTTAATATGTTTAATTAATTAATTAGTTTTAATTAAAACATTTTGATCTTGAAATGTGAATTTTTAAAATTGAATTAATTTCCCCAAATTTATAAGGCACAAACTTTCTCAAATAATTTAACTTTTGTTTGTTTTCATTTGTAGCCTCCACTCTCCGCTGAAAACTCATCCCAGCCGTCCTCATCTGTAAACCTTTCTGGACCCAGTTATCCTCGCCAGACCCCAAACATGACCTTCAACCCCAGTCCTGAACCCTCAGATCCCAAGTTCAAAGGTCACACAGCAGAATACATCGGTGACTTCCATCCCTCTCTGAACCTCTCGTCCGGCATGACCCCGTACACTCAGCCGACGTCATTCAACACTGAGATCGCTCAGGAAAATCCTTACCCGGCAACCTGTCTCAGACACAGATATGCATCCAGCCAATCAGAGACCACGTCCACGGTCATCACACACACCGGCTCGGCCATGAGCGCGATCCCATCGGAAACCCAGCATGGACACGGATACTCCAGTGTTGCTGAGATGTTTCCGTCTTCCACCTGCATGTCTTTGAGTTACGAGCCCATAAACGTGTCTCCGCCGTCGGGCGTTCTCTCTCACTGCTTCTCTGTGCCACAACAAGTGGGCGTGGCTTCTGGCAGGGGGAAGCACAAACACAAGACTGGAGGAGCCCCATTGGTTCCCATGGCGATGACCTCATCTGTAGCCCCGCCCACTCAGACAAGCTGCCTGGCCAATCTGCTCTCTTCCAGATCTCATGAGCGTATGTACATGTTTGATTCATTTTTTTCTACTTGGCCTTATTCAATTTGTTTAGCATGTTCAAAACAATTAAAGCTTATATGAACCAGTGTTGGTTTTAACTAAATCTGAAACTCTCTGCTAATCGTATTAAAGCTGAAAAAAAAAAGATTTTTAATGTTTTTAAAAGAAGTCTCTTATGTTCACCAAGGCTGCATTTATTTGATAAAAAAACTAACATTGTTAAATATTATGACAATTTGAATATATTTTGAAGTGTAATTTATTTCTGTGATCAAAGCGTCATTACTCCAGTCTTCAGTGTCACATGATCCTTCAGAAATCACTCTAATATGATGATTTTCTGCTCAATAAACATTTATTATAATTATCAATGTTGAAAACAGTTATGTACAATTTTTTTCAGGATTCTTTGATGAATAGAAAGTTCAAACAGCATTTATCGGAGTCAGTAAGGATTTTTCTTTTCTTTTTTTCGTTGGGAAATAAAATAAATCAATACTTTTATTCATTAAGGATGCATTAAAGTTACAGTAAAGACATTTATAATGTTACAAAATATTATATTTCAAATAAATGCTGTTCTTTTGAACTTTTTGCTCATCAAAGAATCCTGAAAAGACACAAAATTTCCACAAAAATATGAAGCAGCATAACTGTTTTCAACATTGATAATAATCATAAATGTATATTGAGCATCAGATCATCATATTAGAGTGATTTCTGAAGGATCATGTGACACTGAAGACTGGAGTAATGATGCTGAAAATTCAGCTTTGATAACAGGAATAAATTATATTTTAAAATATATTCACATAGAAAACAATTACATTAAATTGTCATAATATTTAACAGTATTACTGTTTTTTTGTTGTATTTTTAATCAAATAAATGCAGCCTTGGTGAGTATAAGAGACTTCTTTATAAAAACATTAAAAAATCTTACCGATCCCAAACTTTTGAACGGCAGTGTATATGTAATATAATAAAAAACTTTATATCTCTAGGAAAAACATCATTGAGTTTTGATGCTCCTTCAACGGGATTAAAAGGCCACAGACCAACATCACCCATCTCTCCGGTAAGATCCTCTGATAGCTCAATAAAACCTTCACAGCACACTGTAAAACAAGTGAAATAACACAACCAAACTGAAGGGCTGTCACTTTTGTGAATAAATCCTGTTCAATTGAGACGTAAGTTTTCATTGAATCGATTGTAAAATCGATTTTCCATGTCTAAAGACGTTTCCATTTTCATCACCAAATACAGGCAAATCCACGGACACCTAACAGGCATTAGGACAAGCGTAAAGAGGGCGCTTGAGACGCGCAAGTCAGCAATATTTCTGATGATTTATTGGCGTGAAGTTTCAGCACAATGACAAACAGGAGCGCAACATTCAGGGATTGAGATTAACACCTCGACTCGCCAAATGCGGGTAAAAATTACCTTTGGTGGGAAACGCTGTCAAATCACGAGCCAATCTGGCGTGTTTCTGTGTTTACTCACTTTGCTCTGGAAGTTCGCGTAAGACAAATCTGCGCGGATTTAGCAACTGAGTCCTCATGATATATTAAATACAGCGTATCGCAGAATCTGTGCATTTCTGGCTTACTTGAACACACACGTCACTAAGCAACAAATAACGGCGCGCTTGTTCACTTGCATTAAAGCAATAGCGAATATTAAAATAGCATTTGGTGAACAGAACACCTTGTTATTTTCCAACATCCTACATGTTCGGTGTCCTGTATTGATCTGTCCACCTAAAACACATTTTTGGTAAAAAAAAAAAAAAAAAAGGCAGTTAAAAATGATTCCCTATTTTCTTTTTCGAAACTTGTGTTGGTTGGAGAAGGGTTTTCCTGCACAACCGGAGGCTGCAGTTTCAGGACCCCAGTTTTCTGTCTCAGCGCTACCTACTGAACTGGATCACCAAAAACACTCATGTAACCCCTTTTGCGGCAAAGATCACAGACGGCCCCAGATTATTGTTGTTCAACATTCATTATTCGTTAAAACATATCACACTCATTACTTATTTGATCTGGACAAACTGAGCATCATTAGAAACAGTGTTTCTCCTACCATTGTTTTGGGGGGGGCGGCCCGCCCCCCCAAAACGACCCCCCGCCCCCCCTAAAATGCTGACGAAATCCAGTCATAAAAAAGGAATTTAGTGTATAACGCGGAATTTCACGGAATTTGTAAATTTGAGGAATAAATAGAAAGCAGTTCAGTACACTTGAAATCAAATCGCGATGTAGACTAGTGTGTGTGAATATTAAAACACAAAGACTATTTAAATACGAATCCTGCATGTTCTGTGTGAATGAATGGTGCCGCCGACGCGCAGTTTCATTTACCACACGCACACACACACACACACACACACACACACACTGAAGCACGTGTGACGCTTGCGCTGTTTTTTTGGCTCTCCAGGCTCTAGATCCACTCTGAAAGTCACTTCGTAATCATTTAACCGCTTCATTTGAGAAAAACTATCATCATGACATAAACACACAAACTCAAAAGGTCTTCACGGCAACCCGTCAAAATAAAAGTCCCATTTAACTTGACAGAAATATATTACTTTTGTACATTAGAATGGGCTCTATGCACGGCGGTATTTCCGCTGAAGATCTAAGGATGCTGGATTACTTCCGCCGATCGTAGAGTCCAATGCTATACCGAGAATTTATATTGGTTTTTATACTCTATTGCTATACTAAAGAAACGTTAGTCACAAAAACAGACAAAACAGACACCCCTCATTTTGTTTATGCTTCTGTGTTTATTATATTAAATAAACATAACTATATATAAAATTACATCTAAACGTATTAAAGTTTCGTTTCAAAGACGAGAGGACAGTAAATTTTGAAGACTCTGCCATAATCCCGTTTTCCTCGGTTTTCCTCCGCTTTAAATCTCCCCAACCGGAAACGCAAGAGCATCCTTGCGTCAAACGCGGAAGTTATGCGTGCATATAGCCCATTTAGATATGTCCCAATGTAATAATACACTAACACTAATCCAAATAAATTTTGAAATTTAAGGCATAATCCATGTTTTAATTTTAACAGTAAAGCTCATTGTGCAGCAAGTTATTTGACAAAAAGTTTATTTAATTTCATATGATTAAAATTGATGATAAATGATAAAATTTGTGTTTTATGGCTTCATTTTATTACCAGAAAAAACACAACACAGAATTAGTGTGACATTTTTTTTCATATATATATAAAAAAAAAAAGTTGTATAAGTTTAATGATTCATAATACATGATTTCAATTAATTAGACATGCTTTTTGATTGCAAAAAAAATGTACACAACGTATCCGTAACACGCCCGCTCCGCAACACTAGCAGCCCCCCCCCCCCCCCCCCCCCCCCCTGAAAAAAATCCTAGGGGAAACACTGAGAAAGATTTAAGACTCCAGCTTCGATAGTTGACCACTGTTATAAAACTGGTTTGCAGTGACATTAATTTCTTAATTTATGACAGGAGAGCAAAATTATTAATCTGTAAAGTTCGTTATTTTGAATAGAAATCATCACTCATAAAGCAGTCATTCACGTCTTCTCCGGTTTATTTGTGTTAAAGCCTCAACAATGGTCCTTTTGGTCACAACATGTGATTTTTGACACTATAGTGATAGTGTCCTGTCCAATCAACAAAGAAAAGCATACATTGGAGGTAAAAATATGGGTCTAGAGGCCGGAATAATATTTCAATGTGACTTTTTCAGAGATTTTTCGAGTTTATTTGAGCTAAATATGACTATGATAATAGATTTAACATGGAAATGGACTTAAAATAAGAAGAATATATCAGAATTGGATTCCTTGTATCAAAAAAAGTAGAAAAAAATACATTATACAACAATTTAAGACTAAAGGAAGCTGAGATATAACCTTTTCTCTTTTCGGCGGGGGCCAATTTGGATTTTATGGATAACTGCCACTAGGGGGACCACCCCAACTTGTATCCATGGTTTTTTGAAAACCTTAGGCCTATACCTAACACCCTGCCAAAAATAAAAAACTTTTCCAGAAGTGCCCAATTTTCATGAATTGCATCCTAGCTAGCATATAAAATGCTAAATATAACATATTTCAACATCTTTTTTGAACTTAATTCCATTTTAAACCGCGACAGGAATATGATACAAATACTCGATGGTGGTTTAAAGTGAGCTTTAAGTAAAAGTGTAATATTAATATTTTAAATTGTGTCATGTAGCTTGATGCTACTTGCTCTAATCCACCTGCTGCAGGAGCTTTTCTATTCTATAATCTTATTTGTTAAAATATAAATATATTTTTCTAACAAGAGTTAAGATAATAGGTGGACCACCTGGATCCTATAACTGCGGTCCTGAAACCGCTGCCGCCGCTATATCATCCAGTTCGGTAGGTGGTGCTGTCATAAAAAAGTAGGGTCCTGGAACTGGGGTCCTAGAACTGGGGTCCTAGAACTGGGGTCCTAGAACTGGGGTCCTGGAACTGCAGCCTCCGGTTGTGCAGGAACATACTACTGGTTGGTTGGTCCGATCGATTGTGCAATTGATTTTCGGATGTAAAGTGACAGCCCTACCACACTGACAGACATTTAGACAAGTGACACTGTAGAAATTAGCTTTAATTATATATTTAGCTTTGATCACAGGAATATAATTACATTTTAAAATTTATTCACATGGAAAACGATTTTAATAATATTTCACAATATTACTGTTTTTACTGGGTTTTTATTTATTTTTTATAAATGCATCCTTGGTGAGCAGAAGAGTCTTCTTTTAAAATATTACAATATTTTAGTTTTTTTTTACTTGTAACATAACTTTTTCTGAAAACTCAAGTACACTAAAAAGACTTTCTTTTGAATATTGAACATGCAAAGTACACAACATAAATAATGAATAACCAAAAACATGGTGTCATCCAGATAACTCTTCATATCTTGGATGATATGAATGCATTTTTTTTATTTTATTTTTCATAACAGCCAAAAAGCAGCAGTCGTGGAGGATCACAGATTTCCCACAATGCCCCCTGGTCCTCTCCAGCCATCGCTCCTCTGTCACCGTTACACATGTCAGGCCACAGCGGCTCCTCACAGGGAAACACCATTTCATCTCTGCTCGCGCAACAAACGCCACTTCTCATCCCCAAAACAGAAAAACTCTCCCCGGTTCAAATGCACGCAAGTGACAGGACCAGTTTAACAGGTGTGTTGATTTGTGTGGTTTTAATGCATCTCGTCACACATATTTACAGCCATATAATATCACAGATAATAACTCAAGCATTGCGTTTTATTTCAAAAGTAATGAAATGTATGGAAGTTTGTGGAATAAAAAGATAAAGTTAAAGGGGTCATGATATGAGAAATCAAATTTGCCTTTATCTTTTGACATATAAGAGGTCTTTGTACCATTAAAACATCCTGCAAGTTTCATCATCATTACCGTCCTCCTCATTATAAACAAAGCATTTATGTAATCAAGCTTAAAAAACAGCTCATTTTGATATTGGGGAATCTGTGACGTAACACAGGCAAATGAATTTGCATATGCCCGCCTCCAGAGGAAGATATCGGCGAATAGTTATACATCATTACACCATAGGCCCCGCCCACTGCAGTTTAGTCGCTTAACGCTTTGCATTTGCCTTCACTGGATGTGTGTCGCATCAAAAGCATTATAATGATTGATGCTGTCTACACTAGCTGCATTTCCATTAGCAATTTGGGCAAAACGTTTGCGATATTTTCTAAATGTCAATAAAAAAATAACTATTACAAAATGCAACATTTCCATTAATATTATTATCACAGATAATAACTCAAGCATTGTGTTTTATTTCAAAAGTAAGAAAAAGTGGTAACACTTTACTTGAAGGGGTGTGCATAAGACTGACATGACACGTTCATAATCATGACATGACACGTTATGAACATGAAAGAGGTTTATGCATGTTTATGACAACTGACATTAAGTGTCGTTCGCTTAATTATGAAATTTTTATGCAAATATGACATTGTTTAAGATGTCTTTGTTATGACAACTTGACATAAACCAATACATCATAACCTGTCAGTGTCTTTGTCATGACAACTTGACATTACCAAGACAACACAACCTGTCATAAATATGTTATAAACATGACATAGCAGATTAATGATCAAACTTAAGAAACCACTTAGCTTTATGGGGTAACATTACATTGTACAGGTGGTTGGATTTGACATTAGCTGTCATGAGGCCATTATAACTGTGTCATGAATATTTTTCTTGTCCTCAACTACAGTGGTACAAATTTGAATGTGTCATTAAAATGTTATAATGGCCTCATTACAGCCAATGTCAAATCCAACCACCTGTACAATGTAATGTTACCCCATAAAGCTAAGTGGTTTCTTAAGTTTGATAATTAATCTGCTATGTCATGTTTATGGCAGGTTGTGTTGTCTTAGTAATGTCAAGTTGTCATGACAAAGACACTGACAGGTTATGATGTATTGGTTTATGTCAAGGTGTCATAACAAAGACATCTCAAACAATGTCATATTTGCATTAAAAATGTCATAATTGAGCGAATGACACTTAATGACAGTTGTCATAAACATGCATAAACCCTCCTTCATATTCATGACATATGTCATGTCATGATTATGAAGGTGTCATGTCAGTCTTATGAACAGTAATTCGGTGTTACCGAAAAAGTCGTGATTACCTTCTTAATTTTTTTTATGCCGTGGTTGAAATAAGCTTACATACAAATGTCTTGTGTGTTTTAGTTACTTTTTCAGGAAACATGGGGCAGACGTCACCTACGAATCCACCGGAGAAAAACCCGGAGGAGTTACCTGGAAAAGCCAAGATGGAGTCCACAAGAGTAAAATCACAAATCCACCCGCTGTGCATGTTTGTTTTATAACCCTTCGGCTTATGTTGTGTCGCTTATGTCGTGTTGTTTTCACAGACAGACACGCGACGGATCACACACATTTCTGCCGAGCAGAAGAGACGGTTCAACATCAAGCTCGGCTTTGACACGCTTCACAGTCTGGTGACCACTCTCAGTTCACAGCCGAGTATAAAGGTAACACTCACTTCAGTGACTACATCAGTCAGCGCTTGAGAAAAAGAAGTGTGCTTGCTTTTCAGCTTGCTTTTTCTCGATAAAACGATATCAAGAGTTCGATAAATGTTCGATAATGTTTATGCGCCAAAAGCGGAACGAAACTCATTTGAACGAGCTCAGTAGAGCAGACGCGTTTACTCTGATCGTCTCGCTCACGAGATCCAGTGAGAAGCGCTTGAGTTCAGCGAAGAACACTAATGTCTCAGTGATATAAACCAGTTTAAAGGCAGATGAAACAGCGCTGACAAACAGGAGAAACAGTGTGATACAGTCAGAATATGAATTGATACTGAATCCATTTACCATGGATTTACTGTAAGGTTAGCCTAGTAATATTAACTGCACCATGAAATGTGGGATATACATATTGAATTGTATTAGACAATGTTTTAAATGACTAATGGAATATAATTACAGTATTTAATAATGTATTTAGGCTACTTTTTTTTTCATACAAATACCATAGAAACCATAAAGTTACTTTTTGCCATGATAGTGAGATGCTAACTTATAGGCTATGCCTGGCTTTATCTGTGGTTATCATGATGTAAATGCATGATACTGGATGACCATAGGTTCATTTTAATAAAACTAAGAATATTACATTTTGCCAAATACAAATGTGGTAGTTACATTTTTTTTAACAGATGTTACTTTTTTTGTTAATGAACATAAATTTAACATAGTAGTATTAGCTTGAGTTAGGATGCAGATTTACTGTCAACTCACTGTCAAATATGCATTTCGAGACAAAACATGTAATATTAATATTGCAGCATGCACTGCAAACTGTGCTGAAGATACGGGCCATCAAAGTCAGGCAACACAAACCAGTTTCAAGACTTAATAATATCCCCCATTAGCACATGCAGAAACCAAGAAATATGTTTTTCTATTCAGATATTTATTTTGTTAAGGAAAAATGACAAATGATGTTCTACCTCAGATTTGTGAAATGTTCTCGTGTTTGGCAAGTGTTTGTCATGATATGTTCTGACAATAAAGAGTAGTTTAAAACCACAATTAACGCTCTGGTTTCTACAACTTTCACTTAGGAGCAAAAATCTGCCTTTAAACTTGAAAGAAATAAAGATTTGACATTTATCGTGATAATTATCGATATCGACTGATATAAAAAATTTATCGTGATAATTTTTTTGGGCCATATCAATATGCACTTGTTTTTTCAAATCTTAAAAGTACATTTTTGAAAACAACATGCAATTTAAAGGGATCATTTTCATTTTAGGGGTAACTAAGCCATAATTTACTCACCCTGGTGTTGTTCTAATGCCGCATGTCCTTCTTTCTTTTTTTCGGGCCGCTCACTATTGTCCTTATAATGGGAGTGAATAGCGACCAGTATATAGTTATTGTACATTATAATAGCGATTGTATAATACATACAATTTTTGGTTTGTTTTTCACCAAACTCTATCGTAAACCCCCAGAACATTTGGAGTATGGGACACGTGTCGCATCGGATCATTCTGTGATACTTGTGCATCTTTTTTTAAAGCTTGATGCCGGTCGCTATTCACTGAGCGCAAAAAATTCTCCTTTTGTGGTCCAAAAAAGAAAGACATTAGAACAACACCAGGGTGAGTAAATTATGACTAAATTTTAATTTTAGGATGAACTATTCCTTTAAGTGTCGGAAAACATTACATTCAGTTCGCGCTTAATTTAAAGTGGATCAAAACCTTTCGTCAAAGTTATATTGAGTTTTGAACAATACCCGTTCTTGTCTTAGGACAACTTTGATGAACTTTTTTGATCCACTTCAAATGTTGACTACTGTATATTATTTTCATGACAAGTACTCTTATTAAAGGACGCAGAAGTGTGCTTCTTTTTCACAAGGGACCAAAAGACTAGCCGTGCATTTTAGCTTCTGTTACTTCAGATTGATGCTGTTTGCAACCCTCAGCTTCACTAAGATTGAACGCATACAGAGATGATTACAGTCTCATAAGGTTCACTATTTTCAGTCGTGCGTCCTCAACCTCAGCCTAACGCTCGTACTCTCGTTCCCACTGGTCTCAGATCAGTAAGGCCACCACCCTGCAGAAGACAGCGGAGTACATCAGTAAGATGCAGCAGGAGAGAGCTCAACTCCACGAGGAGGCCCAGAGACTGAGAGACGAGATCCTGGTGCTCAACTCTGCCATCAAGTGAGTGCGCTTCAGCTGCGTTACCATTATGAGACTTCAACATTAATGTGTGGTGGGGATTGTTAGGGATGCACCGATTTGAAAACATTACAGATAACTGATCATTCTTTACAGGTGGAACTTGAAAAATTTGAATATCGTGCAATTTCAGTAATTCAACTTAAAAGGTGAAACTAATATATTATATAGACTCATTACATGCAAAGTGAGATATTTCAAGCCTTTATTTGTTATAATTGTGATGATTATGGCTTACAGCTTGGGGTTTTCATAAGCTGTAAGCCATAATCATCAAAATTATAACAAATAAAGGCTTGAAATATCTCACTTTCCATGTATTTATTTATTTTATTTATTTATTTGACATGGACATACAATTACATTGGACGAACCATATGCATTTGTTTAAGTGTTTTAGCACAAATGCTAATTTTCAACACCTGTCCACGGGAGGCTTTTGGAAATAAAATACAATAACAAAACTAGTAAGCAAAATAATACTAAAAATACTAACAGAAAAGGATAGCTAAAATATACCATATAATTACAGAGAAAAGAAAAAACAAATTGCATACATAAATTATAAAGCAGAAGCATCAGAGTCAGAGAATATCATTAGTTATTCATGCGAGCACTGCTGTTTAGTTTTTAGCCATTGTTTAAGTCCTCTGTTAAAAGCTTTGCCATCGGTCTCTAGTTTTAAATCAGTAGGCAAAGCTGATGAGTAATGTAATGAAAAAAGTAATGAGTCTATATAATATATTAGTTTCACCTTTTAAGTTGAATTACTGAAATTGCACGATAATCTAATTATTCGAGTTTCACCTGTATATTTGAAAGCTCATAACTGATATATTGGCCGATAAATCTAAATCCAAATTTTTATATAATTTTCGAGAGCCTGATTGCAAAAACAAAAGTCTCACCATTCAAATCCATGTCCCGAGCACACAATCATAATGATGTTCTCATTATAATTTTATGTAGCCGATATGACAGACTTGTGCTGTACATGTTGCATTTAACTGTATTTTACTTTTTTGAAGTGATTTCAATCATATTTCAAGAAATTCTAAACCATCAAGTGTGCTGAAGGAAATAATCCATTATTTATCGGCCAAATTTTCTTTTCTGGCCGATAATGATAACATATATCGGATAGACCAACGCTACTTTTGCGTCATCGAAGGGTAACGCCCCCTTTTAGGGGAAAACAAACGGATTTCCCTGAGAACAGATCTGCAAGGTTTCTTGATAGCAAAAATGGCACAAACTTAAAGAAGCTACTGGATACGGGGTTACAGAGGTGTCCCTTTGAAATGGTCGAAAACTGGATTAATGACCCCACGCAGTGGCCAAATATGGACTATTCAGACATCTACCACTATCTCGTGGAATCACCAAGTAAGTAACGTTAGCCTTTTTTTTTGTTGTCATTAACACTCACAGTATGACAAACGTCTCGGGTTACGTATGTAACCCTTGTTCCCTGAGAAAGGGAACGAGACACTGCGTCGGTGACGACACTAGGGGAACGCCCTTCAGCGTAGCGCGTCTGAATTCATGAATGAAATCGAATCCAATCCTATTGGCGTTGCGTAATGACGTAGCGAGTGACGGCATACACGGATGTGTACAAAGGCACGCCGGCACAAGCAAAGTCAGCTCTTTGCTATGAAGCAAGTGCTCCAAGCAGGGTGAGGTGTGGCGAACCGACGCAGTGTCTCGTTCCCTTTCTCAGGGAACAAGGGTTACATACGTAACCCGAGACGTTCCCTTTCGAGGGAACTCGAACTGCGTCGGTGACGACACTAGGGGAACGAGATACCCACTATACCACAACGAACCCTGCTCATCCTAGTGTGAAACTGACTTCAGGCACAACCTAGGACGAAAGCACTGGTGCACCGGGTGTAGAAGGAAGGTCCAGACTATAAAACCTCATGAATGTGTGCGGAGTGGCCCAGCCAGCCGCCTCACATATGTCATGAATAGGAACCCCTGAAAGGAGGGCTCTAGAAGACGCTATGCCTCTGGTCGAGTGAGCCCTCACAGCCATAGGTGAAGGCAAATTGCGCACCTGATAGGCCAGGGAAATAGTCTGAACGACCCAGTTGCTGATGGTTTGCTTAGAGGCGGGAAGCCCCTTTTTGGGCGACCCAAAACACACCAGCAACTGGTCCGCCGTCACATGAGGTGGAGGATGAAATGTCTGCAGAACCAAAGGCCGTGCCACATTAGATGGCACCTTGGGCAAATAGCCGGGCCTGGGGTGCAAGATGGCCTTAATTTTGCCTGGAGCAAACTCCAAGCACCCATTGGAAATAGAGAGCGCCTGGAGATCTCCTACCCTCCTCAGAGAAGTAATGGCCAACAAAAAGACCACCTTAAATGAAAGGTTCTTGGCCTCAGCCAACTCCAATGGTTCGAAGGGGGCCTCGGCCAGTCCTTCGAGAACCACTGCCAGGTCCCAAGAGGGAACCCTGGTGCGAGTCGCAGGTCTCATCCTCCAGGCTCCACGGAGGAAACGTACGACCAGGTGATGCCTCCCCAGAGGACCATCACTCAGAGGAGCGTGGAATGCCGCAATGGCAGCCACATAAACCTTGAGTGTGGACGGGGTAAGCCCGGCAGAAAAGCGGTCTTAGAGAAACTCCAGCACTGAAGCCACTGGGCAGTGAACTGGGTCCAAATCACGCTCTCTGCACCAAATGGAAAAAACATTCCACTTAAGGCCGTATAACTTCCTTGTGGAGGGAGCTCTGGAAGTGAGTATAGTTTCAACCACTTCTGCTGACAGGCCGGCTTCTAGGTACTGTGCCCCCTCAGGGGCCAGACCCACAGTTTCCACAGCTCGGGCCGAGGGTGGAGAACTGAGCCCCCCGCCTGAGACAACAGGTCCCTCCTCGGAGGGATCTGTCATGGCGGGCCCGCCAGAAGCAGGATGATGTGGCCGGCCGGCCAAAATGGGGCTACAAATAGTAGGCTGACCCCGTCCTGACGGACCCTTTCCAGAACTGCTGGGAGCAGAGCGATTGGGGGAAAGGCGTACAGACGCAGCCTCGGCCACGTCTGCACGATGGCATCCAACCCCAGCGGGGCTGGATGTGTGAGGGAGAACCACAGTGGACAGTGTGTCGTCTCTCGAGACGCAAATAGATCCACTTCCACTGGGCCAAACCTCTCGCATATTAACTCCACCACCTCAGGGTGGAGTCTCCATTCCCCGCGCCTCAGCCCCTGCCTCGACAGCATGTCTGCTCCCTGGTTCTGGTCCCCCGCGACATACATCGCCCTGAGAGACGACAGTCTCCGCTGGGACCACAGGAGGATCTGATGCGCCAGTCTGCACAGAGGGCGCGACCTCAGACCCCCCTGGCGGTTTAAATAGAACACCACTGACGTATTGTCGGTTCTCACGAGAACGTGGCTACCCTGGAGGTCTGGCAAAAAACTCCCCAGAGCTTGGAACACTGCCAACATTTCCAGGCAATTTATGTGCCAAGAGAAATGATGGTCCTGCCAGTGACCTCTCGAAAAGCAGCCTTCCATAACCGCGCCCCAGCCCGTGAGGGAGGCGTCTGTCGAAATAGATACCCGGCGACATAACGCTCCCAAATTGGGACCCTGGGACAGGAACCAAGGCTTCTTCCAAATTGATAGGGAACGAAGGCATCTGCGCGTAACCCTTATCAATCGGAATGGATTTCCCCTCGGGAAAAACCCCTTGGCTCTCAACCACCACTGTAAAGCTCTCATGTGTAGCAGGCCAGAAGGTATGACACTGGACGCTGCTACCCTGAGACCCAACACCCTCTGGAAGTGTTTTACTGTGATGGTGTGGCCTGGCTTCACCCTGGTTAGTGTGGTTAATATGGACTCGACGCGTGTAGGAGACATGTGTGCCTGCATCGTCGTTGAGTCCCATACCACCCCCAAGAACGTAGTTCGTTGGGCGGGTGAGGCCGAATGGAAGAACCCGATATTGGTAAGCTTCGCCCCCGAAAGCGAACCTCAGGAACTTCCTGTGAGATGGAAGGATGGAGATGTGAAAGTAGGCGTCCTTTAGATCTATCGTGACAAACCAATCCTCGGATTGGATTTGACTCACAATGATAATAGTGAGCATCTTGAACCTGAATCTCCTCAGAGACTGGTTCAGAAGCCTCAGATCTAAAACGGACGCAACCCTCCATCCTTTTTTGGAACTATGAAGTACCGGCTGTAGAACCCGGACCCCCTGACTGGTGGGGGAACACCTTTATGGCCCCCTTTTTCCAGCAGCGAGTGAGCTTCCTGTTCCAACACCAGACCCTGCTGTGGATCTATTGCAGTCCAAACCACCCCGTTGATACTTACCTTGGTGGGCGGATCCGGAACCGCAGCCTGTATCCAATTTCTGACAGTGTGCAGGACCCATGGAGAAATGTTCGTGAAGTTTTTGCCATGCCTCTGCGAAATTTTGCCATGCCTCAGCCCTCGGGGCTGGTGTCCAGTATTTTGCGCAAGTCCTTGACGGCACCCTGAAGCGGAAGACCGGCAGGGGAAAACCGACAACGACCCACAGTGTGCGAACCCGAACACTGACTGACTGCAAGCCTTTGGGGCAGACAGACCAGTGTGTGCTCGCTGGGAGCTAGCGTGTCCCGAAGCGTCAAAGACGGCGGGATACTGACGCCAGGGCCCGGCGAGAGAGGGGACCACAATCGCTCTCTCTCGGGGGGGGGGGGGGGGGGGGGACGGTCCTCAGATCCGTCTTCTCAGAAGGCTCTGGGCAAGAGCACCGCCTAGAGTCCGAAGCTCAGATATTAATATATATATATAAATATAAATATATGTATATATACAGTATATATATATATTTCCTAAGGGGGACCTCTAGAGCGATACTCTCCTTCAGATGGTAGGCTAAATTAAAATATCTAACCAAGTTTTAAAGTCAGATATGACTTTTAATTTCTTTAACTCCTCGGAATTAAATGCAGCCATACCACTGGATAAGTGAAAACACGGTCTGAATGGTAGGCTGTAGGAAATAAATGCAGCCAAAAAAACACCAGAATACTGTTTTATATTTAATTTAACAATCTCGTAACCTACACGCTGCCTCAGCAAACGCGAGATTCGAGACGTTATAATTTGGCTTTCATCCCTCGAGAAGAAAGACAACAGTATAATTATCAGATCGCGTGTGTCCATTTTATTGCAGACCCGTAACGCGCTGCCTTAGCAAACGCGAGATTCGAGTCATACACAATAAATTTGCCTTTCATCTCTCGAGAAGAAAGTCAACAGGCGCGAGGCTGAGACACCCGAAACGGACGTGTGCGGCGAGTTTTTTTTTTTTTTTCTCAATGAACACAGCCAGCACCCTCAGGAGCTGATCGTTCATGCCTCGCACCCACACAGGAAGCTGTAAAGTAGACTCGTAACCTATGCTGCCTCGGCAAACACTAGATCCGAACTACTAGATTCTGTATTGCAAGGCAACTTAAAACCTACGTGCTGCCTCAGCAACGCGAGATCCAGCCACAGAATCTTATTGAAAAATACACTTGAAATCTAAGCGCTGCCTCGGCAAACGCGAGACCCGAGCTACTAGATTCTGAATTGCAAGGCAAACCTTAGACCCACGCGCTGCCTCAGCAAACGCGAGATCCCAGACACAGAATCTTATTGCAAAGTACACTCGTAATCTAAGCGTTGCCTCGGCAAACGCGAGATCCGAGCTACTAGATTCTGTATTGCAATGCAGACTTAAACAGGACATACAACACCAAATAGGACAGATTGTTCCACACATACACAGAGCGCTTGCTGAATAGCAAAAAGCTGACTTTGCTTGTGCCGGCGTGCCTTTGTACACATCCGTGTATGCCGTCACTCGCTACGTCATTACGCAACGCCAATAGGATTGGATTCGATTTCATTCATGAATTCAGACGCGCTACGCTGAAGGGCGTTCCCCTAGTGTCGTCACCGACGCAGTTCGAGTTCCCTCGAAAGGGAACTAGACGATAAGGCCATGTCACTTGGATCATATTTAACTTGATTTTAAGCTATTGACATAGTTTTGTTGTCGACTAGCTATACTAGTTAGAAAGACGAAGCTGCTAGCAGCTAACGTGATTAGCTCTCACAAGGCACGCTACCTTGGCTGTTAACTGATTTTACTGTTGAAATAGTGGCAGGCTAGGACTAAAGTGGACTTGGCTGGTTTCTGCTTGTGTCTAGAAAGTGCTTTAGGCCTATAAGACTTTTCGACGACCACTGCTCTTGGCTACATGTAACAAAACGAACGGCAGTAGATCAAGCCTTCTAGGCTAGATAGGATAGCGTAATGTTACAACATCCAAATTGATAGCCCCGTACATACATACATTGGTCCGATACATATTTTGCCGTACACTGTAAACCTTTTTACAACTTTCAAAGTCCTAGCTAGCACTTTCTAGACACAAGCAGAAACCAGCCAAGTCTACTTTAGTCCTAGCCTGCCACTATTTCAACAGTATAGTATAGCTAGTCGACAACAAAACTATCTAAATAGCTTAAATCAAGTTAAATATGATTCAAGTGACATGGCCTCATCGTCTAGTTTGTCATACTGTGAGTGTTAATGACAAAAAAAATAGGCTACTTACTTGGTGATTCCATGAGATATTGGTAGATGTCTGAATAGTCCATATTTGGCCACTGCGTGGGGTCATTAATCCAGTTTTCGACCATTTCAAAGGGACACCTCTGTAACCCTGTATCCAGCAGCTTCTTTAAATACCGCTCACGGTCCTCGGCCGGCAAAACACAAGAAACTTAGCAGATCTAGAGCGAGTTCTGTTCTCAGGGGAATCCGTTTGTTTTCCCCCAAAAAGGGGCGTTACCCTTCGATGACGCAAAAGTATCGTTGGTCTATCGGTCGATACTGATATGGTGGCTGATATATCGTGCATCTCTAGTGATTGTATATGAACTGTTTGTGTGTAGTGTGTGTCAGCAGCAGCTTCCGGCCACAGGCGTCCCAATAACACGACAGCGATTCGACCACATGAGAGAGAAGTTCAGAGAGTATGTGAGGGCTCAAACGCTGCAGAACTGGAAGTTCTGGATTGTATCCTACAAAGCTTTGTGTCTCTTCCTAATCTGAAACATAAACACCCCAAAATGAAAACTCCCTCATCATTTACTCTCCTTCCCTGATGTACATGACTTTCTTTCTTCAGATAAACACAAACAAAGATTTTTATTGAATTATCTGTGAGTCCTTATAATGCCATTGAATGGCTGCCATTCAGAGAAAATTTGGTCACACTTTACAATAAGGTTCATTAGTTAACATTAGCTAATGTATTAACTAACATGAACTAACAATGAGCAATACATTTGTTACCGTATTTATTAATCTTTGTTAATGTTACTTAATAAAAATACAGCTGTTCATTGTTTGTTCATGTTAGTTCACAGTGCATTAACTAATGTTAACACAACCTTTGATTTTAATAATGTATTAGTAAATGTTGGGATTAATAACTAAGATTAGTAAATGCTGAAGAAGTATTGTTCATTCTTAGTTCATGTTAACTAAGGTAGTTAACTAATGTTAACTAATGAACCTTATTGTAAAGTGTTACCGAAATTTTTTATAATTTTAAAATAAAAACAATCAAAACAAAACACTTACAGATGAAACTCGAAAAATTTGAATATCGTGCAAAAGTTCAGTAATTCAACTTAAAAGGTGAAACTAATATATTATATAGACTCATTACATGCAAAGTGAGATATTTCAAGCCTTTATTTGTTATAATTGTGAGGATTATGGCTTACAGCTTATGAAAACCCCAAATTCAAAATTATAATATTGTGAAAAGGTTTTCATAAGCTATAAGCCATAATCATCACAATTATAACAAATAAAGGCTTGAAATATCTCACTTTGCATGTAATGAGTCTATATAATATATTAGTTTCACCTTTTAAGTTGAATTACTGAAATAAATGAACTTTTGCACCATATTCAAATTTTTCGAGTTTCACCTGTACTTTAAAAAAGATAAAAATATATTTTATTTGTTTAACTGCATGTCATGTGACCATTTACCGATATCAGAGAACAGTTAACTTAATATTATTATTAATTTATTATTATAATTAGCTTAATTTTATTGACCTAACTTGATATTTTATTATTTCAGGGGATCCAGATTACATGTAATCATTTACTACCCAGCAACTGTTGATTGATTACATTAAGAATTCCTTATATTTTGTACATAATAAGATTTCTGAAATGTTATGTTTAATAATGCAAATTAGGCATTATCTAAATTAAATATGCACGCATTTGCATACATTTACAGAACAGAAATCTGAACATTGGATAAATTCATTTTGTTGACATGTTAAAGTCAAAGGTTTTTACAGAGGGGATTGTCTATCACTCCATCAATCAGAAAATACTGTCAATGTTTATAGGAATGTTATATAAATCAGGTGATTTATATATATATATACAATGTGTTTGCCTGTAGTGTCTCGCCTTAAAGGGTTCGTTCACCCCAAAATGTAAACTCTGTCAGTAATTACTCTCCCTCATGTTTTTTCAACCCCGTAAGACTTTCGTTCATCTTCGGAACACAAATTAAGATATTTTTGATTAAATCTGAGAGCTGGATCACTCCTCCATAGGCTTCTAAGGGATTGAAACTTGCCTGCCCAGAAAAGTTATTAAAGACATCGTTAAAATAGTCCGAGTGACTATAGTGGCTCAACCTTAAGTTTATCAAGCGACGAGAATACTTTCACATCACACACATGACCAGCGTCGGCCAATAGTAAGCCTGCATGTGATGTATAACCCAGAAGCGCTGCGCTGTAACACTACGATAACTCACTCGAGGCCCACAGAGAAGGAAATGAATAGTTGAATAAAGTCGTTGTTTTTGTTTGTTTTTATGCGCAAAAAAAGTATTCTCATCGCTTGATAAACTTAAGGTTGAGCCACTATAGTCACTCGGACTATTTTAACGATGTCTTTAATAACTTTTGGGCCGGCCAGTTTCGATCCCTTAGAAGCCTATGGAGGAGTGTTCCAGCTCTCAGATTTAATCAAAAATATCTTAATTTGTGTTCCGAAGATGAACGAAAGTCTTACGGGGTTGGAACAACATGAGGGCGAGTAATTATTGACAGAGTTTTCATTTTGGGGTGAACTAACCCTTTAAGCATCCAAAACATCTGTTCTGGTCCTATTAGCAGGATTAACTCTGTTAAAATGCAAGTCGTCCACATCTTCATATTTTCCTGAGCGGAAGCCGTTCCCGTAGTTCAGCATCATCATCGAGCCGCTGTTCGAGTCGTTTAACGGTATGGTGTCCACAGCGAGTGTGGATGACCTGTGTCGCAGCACTCTCTCCTGGCTGGACCAGCACTGCTCTCTGCCCGCGCTCAGACCCAGTGAGTGTCCAGCACCTCCACACCTCTACACCTGTTCACCTGTTCACCTCTACACCTGTTCACCTGTTCACCTCTACACCTGTTCACCTGTTCACCTCCACACCTGTTCACCTGTTCACCTCTACACCTGTTCACCTGTTCACCTCTACACCTGTTCACCTGTTCACCTCCACACCTGTTCACCTCTACACCTGTTCACCTCCACACCTGTTCACCTTCACACCTGTTCACCTCCAAACCTGTTCACCTGTTCACCTCCACACCTGTTCACCTCCACACCTGTTCACCTCTACACCTGTTCACCTGTTCACCTCCAAGCCTATTCACCTGTTCACCTCCACACCTCTACACCTGTTCACCTCCACACCTCTACACCTGTTCACCTGTTCACCTCCACACCTGTTCACCTCCACACCTCTACACCTGTTCACCTGTTCACCTCCACACCTGTTCACCTCCACACCTCTACACCTGTTCACCTGTTCACTTCCACACCTGTTCACCTCCACACCTCTACACCTGTTCACCTCCACACCTCTACACCTGTTCACCTCTACACCTGTTCACCTCCACACCTGTTCACCTCCACACCGTTCACCTCCACACCTGTTCTCCTGTTCACCTCTACACATGTTCACCTCTACACCTGTTCACCTCCACACCTGTTCACCTGTTCACCTCCACACCTGTTCACCTCTACACCTGTTCACCTCCACACCTGTTCACCTCCACACCTCTACACCTGTTCTCCTGTTCACCTCTACACCTGTTCACCTCCACACCTGTTCACCTCCACACCGTTCACCTCCACACCTGTTCTCCTGTTCACCTCTACACATGTTCACCTCTACACCTGTTCACCTCCACACCTGTTCACCTGTTCACCTCCACACCTGTTCACCTCTACACCTGTTCACCTCCACACCTGTTCACCTCCACACCTCTACACCTGTTCACCTCCACACCTCTACACCTGTTCACCTCTACACCTGTTCACCTCCACACCTGTTCACCTCCACACCGTTCACCTCCACACCTGTTCTCCTGTTCACCTCTACACATGTTCACCTCTACACCTGTTCACCTCCACACCTGTTCACCTGTTCACCTCCACACCTGTTCACCTCCACACCTGTTCACCTCCACACCGTTCACCTCCACACCTGTTCTCCTGTTCACCTCTACACATGTTCACCTCTACACCTGTTCACCTCCACACCTGTTCACCTGTTCACCTCCACACCTGTTCACCTCCACACCTGTTCACCTGTTCACCCTCAGACTGCACAGTCACCGTAGCGCCAGCCTTTCACTCGCACAAGGAGATGTGTGCAGGTGTACAGGTGAAACTCGAAAAATTTTAATATCGTGCAAAAGTTCATTTATTTCAGTAATTGAACTTAAAAGGTGAAACTAATATATTATATAGACTCATTACATGCAAAGTGAGATATTTCAAGCCTTTATTTGTTATAATTTTGATGATTATGGCTTACAGCTAATGAAAACCCCAAATTCAAAATTGGAATATTGTGAAAACGTTTTCATAAGCTATAAGCCATAATCATCAAAATTATAACAAATAAAGGCTTGAAATATCTCACTTTGCATGTAATGAGTCTATATAATATATTAGTTTCACCTTTTAAGTTGAATTACTGAAATAAATGAACTTTTGCACCATTTTCAAATTTTTTGAGTTTCACCTGTATATACGGTATTTTCACCTGCTAGAAATGCATGCTCGGTTTGTAAGTAAAGTAAACAGTGATTACAAGGCATTTGGTTTAATTTCTTCACTCATTTAATTTCATTGCTATCTAATTGATGGCTAGTCTATTCTTGGGCTATGGTTTTTAGACGTCTATTACATTTTCACTGACAGCCCAAATTTTGCTTTGTTTCAGCCTAGACGTCATGGCTGTGTTGATTAATAGTTAAATGTATCATATTATTGCATTTAATTATACCTTATGATGTTATATAAATAATAACAAAACAATATATACACTACCATTCAAAATTCTCTTATGCTCACGAAGGCTTAAATTGTTTGATCAAAATTACAAGTTACTTAAAGTAATTAATTACTAGCTACTAATTGAATTGATAGTGTAATTATAATACTGTACTAATTAATCTCTTTAAAAATTACTTCTTATTACTAGTTACTTTCTAAATCCCATATCAGTCAGGCTCTGTTAATTCCGTTTAATAATAAATAACATAAAATTGCATAAATTATTCTTGAACTGACCGACGTATTTAAAGGGAGAAGGTTAAATTAAAAGGATACATTTTATCATTAGAAATTAAATTTTGATAGTGATATTTATATTTATATAGAATTTTTCTATACTCTCTATACAGTATTTAATGCAATTGCATGAAAAATAGGTGTAATTAAATTACTTAGTGATGCATTTCACCCATCGCTGATAGTAATACAGAATTGAACTGACCACACCAGTGTGTTTATATCCAATATATGTGAACCTGCTTCTTTTTTTTTTCTTTTTTTTTCTTCTCTTCTCCTGGAAACATTTTTAATGTGAAAAGTTAATGTGTTTTTTTTTTTTTTTTTTACTTTTTGTAAATAATAGACCTTAAAAGTCAAAGTCTCTCTCTCAAGTTTTGGAAAAAGAAAGAAAAAAATGGCAAATTGTTAACTTAGTTATTGGAAAAGCGAAAATTGCTATTTATCTGACAAGAAAGGAAAAAATGTAGGTCGGGATGTAGTACAAGTTTTTAAGAGTTTTAATGAATGTAAGATTTAAATTTTTATTTTTATTTATTTTATAAAACTTAAGAGTATAGCGGAATTCGAAAATGTATGGAATTATAAAGAAATGTGCTTAAAGGATGGTGAATACATTTTTGCTAAATGTGTTGAGTAAAGTGTATGTTTATTAATTGTTTTAAAATTATTTAATAAAGGGTTGTAACCCCCCCCCCCCCCCCCCCCCCCTCTCTCTCTCTCTCTCTCCCTCTCTCTTTCCAGCTGTTTTGAGTTCACTCCGTCTGCTCAGCACCTCCACATCAATCCTCTCAGATCCCAGTCTGGTTCCCGAACAGGCCATCCAGGCTGTCAGTCACGGATATACATCCCTCAGCTACAGCCAATGACATTCATCCCTCGGCTACAGCCAATGACATTCATCCCTCAGTTACAGCCAATGACATTCATCCCTCAGCTACAGCCAATGACATTCATCCCTCGGCTACAGCCAATGACATTCATCCCTCAGTTACAGCCAATGACATTCATCCCTCAGCTACAGCCAATGACATTCATCCCTCGGCTACAGCCAATGACATTCATCCCTCGGCTACAGCCAATGACATTCATCCCTCATCTACAGCCAATGGCATTCATCCCTCAGCTACAGCCAATGACATTCATCCCTCGGCTACAGCTAATGACATTCATCCCTCGGCTACAACCAATGACATTCATCCCTCGGCTACAGCCAATGACATTCATCCCTCGGCTACAGCCAATGACATTCATCCCTCATCTACAGCCAATGACATTCATCCCTCGGCTACAGCCAATGACATTCATCCCTCGGCTACAACCAATGACATTCATCCCTCGGCTACAGCCAATGACATTCATCCCTCAGCTACAACCAATGACATTCATCCCTCGGCTACAACCAATGACATTCATCCCTCATCTACAGCCAATGACATTCATGCCTCGGCTACAACCAATGACATTCATCCCTCGGCTACAGCCAATGACATTCATCCCTCGGCTACAACCAATGACATTCATCCCTCGGCTACAGCCAATGACATTCATCCCTCAGCTACAACCAATGACATTCATCCCTCGGCTACAACCAATGACATTCATCCCTCATCTACAGCCAATGACATTCATCCCTCGGCTACAACCAATGACATTCATCCCTCGGCTACAGCCAATGACATTCATCCCTCGGCTACAGCCAATGACATTCATCCCTCGGCTACAGCCAATGACATTCATCCCTCGGCTACAACCAATGACATTCATCCCTCGGCTACAACCAATGACATTCATCCCTCGGCTACAGCCAATGACATTCATCCCTCGGCTACAGCC